TATGTTTACTGATGAATCCCGCTTGTTTCTACAACATCATGATGGTCGCATTCAAGTTTGTAGTCCCACCTGGTGAGAGGCTGCTGAACATTTGCGTTATGCATCGCCACACTGTTCCTGCACCCGATATCACGGTTTGGGATGGTATTGGATTACACTGCCGTACCCCTCTAGTACGCAATGCCGATATAATGAACATCCAATGCTACATCTCTGAAGTGTTGAAGCCCGTTGATCCTTCCATACATTTAGCTCTTGCCATCAGCTATATTCCAAAAGGATAATGCGTGACCACAAATGGTACGCAATGTTAAAGAGTTCCTCTTTACCCATCAGATTAAATTGTTTCCTTGACCTGCTTTTTCTACCGATCTATCGCAAATCCAAAACGTGTGGTCCAAGCTTGCACAAGAACTGGTCACTTATAACCCTTTAAGACTCAAATTATTTTTATCTTTAAATATTAAATTCTTCTCGTTATTAATAATATACTGACCCCAATAACACTGGGAAAAATAATTAAAAAATTCCAGCTCCCCCCTTCCGGAAGGTAGACGGTACCCACTCGATCGTGCGAGTTGGGCTTTTTCTGTAAAATCGGCACCTGTGAACCTGTTACATTTTTTGGCTCTAAGTTGATAGAAGAAACACACTTAATTCAATTAAAATTGTTACAAATAAGGAAATTATTGATGTAAAATTAATTATTTTATTGACTCATTATTTATTTCCTGTGGAAATCCTTAAAACATGTGTTTATGTTTTTGATAAGCATAAATATACTTTGCATTTTTCACAACATGTTTTCGGACTGCTTTCGTAGTTTTCAAATCCGTACTTGCGAGGCCTTGAAATGTCATCAACGCATCGAAATTGGCTATATATGTCAAGCCTTTTATCCTGGAATGGCCAGGATAAAAGACATCTCATGCATAACAGGTGGATCATAAAGCTTCGACCTTTTTGCGAGTGGAATTACAACAGGGTTATCGTCATCATCTATTAAAATACTTTTGTTAGTAGGTGGAGAGGCTGATAATGCTTCAACTATCTCTAACTTAAATTTTAAGCGATCCATTTTGATTTGTGGAGGCATTTTATTCGATATTGCATCTTACTTGCACATAAACCAAGAATTTGTAACAGCTAAAACAATGAAATGAATGGGTTTAAGAGACTTTGAAGGTAAAGAATGATCCAAAATTGTCTTTCCATTTCAAATATTCCCATGTTTTTCTTGATCGCTCTCATCTGAACTTGATTCTCCTTTCAGTATACGTGATTCATATGTTTTGTTCGCTGCTTTGTCATCATCCGAGAAATCACTAAGCTCTGATCTAAGTTTATTCTGATTTATTCATCAGTTGCAAAATTTCATGTGTGAAAATTCTCCTTTTAGACACCTGAAAAGTTTTGGGTTAAAAGTTAGCACAGTATTCCTTGAAAAATAATAAAATGTTTTAGAAAATTCTTTTATTTTTTTGAAAAAAAAAATTTATACCACACTTTACCAACTCCCACCAAAAAAACCCTGATTTTTTTCAAGGGGGAGATATGGATGCAGATATCTGTGTAAAGGATGAAAATGCAATACCGATCATCAAATGTGTAAAAGAGAAAATTAATTGCCAAAAAGAATTAGCGAAAGAAAAAAGGGACTTGTCCACGTCAACCCCAAGAAAATATGTTTTTAACTATAGCAATATACACTCATGTCCATAAATTAAGGATAATTCAGAATCACACAGAAATTGAACTCTAAAATAAAAATTTCACCTGTAGAATTATCACAAACATCTTGAAGAAGAATATGCAAATTACAGGAAACCACCAGATGTCGTGGATCGTACGTCACGATGACGAGAGTGTAAGAGAGGAGTATATAAGGAATGGTGGCAAAGAAGTAAAATTGTTCACAAGCGCTTTAAAAGCCTTTCAGTGCAATAACCGCATAGTTATGGCACATAGGAAGCCTTTGGATGATTTTTTACATGGTAGAATTATTGGACAACTGGAATGTAGACGTACCCAGCTGGAAGTATTCGAGGAACTTGGAATTGCCCAGAGTGCCATCTTCAGGCTTTGGAAACGATTCCAAGATGATGGTAAGGTGAGTAGATGTTTCAGCACAGGTCGCCCCGAGTTACAACGCCGAATGAGGACCGGTATTTGGAAGTTACTGCCAAAAGAAACAGACGGAGCACAGCATCAGACCTGTCTCGTCAGTTCTCTTCAGCTACCGGTACGACAGTTTCAAGGCAGACGCTTAAGGCACATTTGTCAATATGCTCGTAGGCCTGTAACATGCGTTTCAGTTACCGCAACTCACTGTCGCCTGCGATTAACCTGGAGTAGAGAGCTTGCATTGTGGACACCACAACAGTGGTCTTGTGTGATGTTTTCCGACGAGTCCACGTTTAGTTTGCAGTCTGATTCTGACCGGACTTTAATATAGAGAGCGCCAGGTACCCGTTACCACCAAGAGAACACCACTGAACGACACCGTTACGGTGGTGCAGGATGGCTCGTTTGGGGAGGAATTATTCTTGGTTCCAGAACTGACCTGCATGTTCAGAGTGTAACGATGACAGGCCACATCTATAGGGATGTCATTCTGGAACAACATGGGCGTTTGTTTCGGGGCGCCATGGGTGCTGAATTTCTGTTTATGGATGACAACGCCCGTCCTCACCGTGCAAACATTGTAGACGAATGCCTTCATTTGGAGGATATCACCGGTATCGATTGGCCAGCATACTCACCGGACTTCAATCCTATAGAGCATGTGTGGGATATGCTTGGCCGACGAATTGCAGATCTTCAACCCCCTCCCCCTGTCTACCGGAACTTCGGAGGGCATTGCTTGATGAGTGGTGTAATATTCCCCAAGATGAGATTGATAATTTGATACTCAGCATGCCTAGGCGTTGTAAGGCCTGTATTGCATCGTCCGGGAGACATACTCCGTATTAAACATCATTCTAACCATGTTATACTGTTTTTTGTAAATAGGTTCTTTTTTTGAAAATTGCTCCAGGGAGTAAAAATTGCAATTTTTATTAATTATGTCAAACATATAGCATCTTTTTTGCTTTTTACCTTTTGTTTAATAAATAGACTTTACAAATAAGTCAAATTTGTTTCGCTTCTGTCTCTTTCTTTTCCTGAACTTCATTATCCTTAATTTATGGACATGAATGTATTTCGTCTTCATTTAAGCTTTTTAAGCTTTAATATTATAGAAACAGAAAAGAAAACTCACATGGCAAGAATTTACGTTTATAGCTGCAGTGACTCAAGTAACGTCCAACTCGCACGTTCATGCGAGTAATGAATTTCCGTCCTACAGGCAACATTATAGAGTATAATTATATATTTTTTCCTATTTTACAATTATTTAAACATTAATACAAAACTTTGTATCCAAGCAATTTGAAATATATTGATAATTACTTTTTTGTGACGGATAAAAAGAAGTTGTGTTTGAAAACAAAGCTAGATTTGCAGCTGAAAGTAAAACATAGACTACAACCATCGTCTGTTGATGAAAAGTGATACTTTACACTTTCTGCAAACATGCTCTATCGTTAAATTTTGGATTTTCTTACGTACGACTATTCCAGAAGCAAAAACGTATAAGAATATCTAACCCGCACGACCGTGGGGGTTGGGTCTTAGAGGGATACCCCCTCCCCCGCTGCTACACAAGAATAACTTTGGAAATATGTAGAAGCCGAATAGACTGCTGTACCCCAAGGATACATCCAAAGTCTCTTTGATTTTATGCCGAGGCGTGTGGCAGCGGTTATACCCAACAATGTCGGTATACTAACTACTTGTTTTGTCATCATCCACAAGTCGCAAGAGGCTGTAATTTTAATCGTTTGATCTTTGTACGACATGTTATCTGCCAAATAAATTTCGCTGTGATATCTCTGGTCCTCCTTGGTGTTGTATTTTGAGTGGCTAGTAGTGTACTTTTATTTGAAGTAAATTCTTTTCGTAAAAGACTTGTGAATTTTTTTTAAAGAATTATAGTGACGCTAAAATATGTTATTTGTAAATACTGATGTAAAAGTACCCTAAATACATTTGTTTTTAAGCTATACATAAAGACACTTTTTTTAATATTTAATACGACCAAAAATAGAATATACATACAAAGTTGTTTTAAAAAATATTATTACAATAAAGTTTGTTTTAAATGCATTTTTTTTTGACAAAAAGTGAAGAAATAATGTTTTAAAAATATTTTCCTTTTAAAAAAGGGAAATGCTTCCATAATAATATTTTCCCTATATATAGCTAAGACTTCTCTACAGAGCCAGAATAAGGACTTTAGAAGAATTCATATTATTTTTTCATAGTTACTATCTATCAAAGAAATAACCAGTGTTTTATGTTAACATTTCTCTATCTTGATATACTAAAATATGAAAAACTCCACTTCTAAGATATGTATCCCATATTTCAAAACTCCTAGATCAGACACTCAAGAACAGAATGAAAATATTTCTACTAAGTTTTATGTAAATACATGAATATATGTTTTGAGTTATCGCATACTGTTTTCGAGAAAATTGACTTAAAGATAAAAAAAATTACACAGGAAACAAAAATAAATGTGTGAAATAAGCCAGACTTTTCCAAAAGTATCTGAATACATTTTTAATGTTTTTTGTATACATATAATCAAAATCATTTTTTAAAAATAAAACGACAAGTAATATATATATAAAATTAAGTTGATTCCCACCTAGGTCAACAAAGAAAAATTTTATTTTAGTTACTTTTTATTAAATAATTATAATTAATATAAATATGTATATATACATATGACAAAATCACAGTATTAAGAGGCAAAATAGAAAGCGATTTTTCTTGCAATTTTCCTTTCTATATATGGTGTTGGACAATTATATTTTTGTTTGTTACTATTTATTCATTAATTAAATTTAATTATTGAAATAAAATAGCACAATAAAAAGAAATCAAAAAAGAGAAATCATGAGATTTGAACCCACGTCCTTTGGATTAGAAGTCCAACGCGTTATTCATTGCGCTACAGAGACACAACGAGTGTTTCTCCTTTTATATATGGCATTGGACTTTTATAGTTGTTTCTTTTTATTTATTAATTATATTTAATTGATTAATAAATATCTGAAAAAACTTTATTAACATCAAAGTGCCATCCACTACAAGTTTAAAAAATAAATTTGAACTTGAGTGGATGAATAAAAAGTATTTTATTAACGATTGAAATTTTGAACAAGATATATATATATATATATATATATATATATATATATATATATATATATATATATATATAAAGAGAGTGTGTGTGTGAACTAATATAAAGAATTGAAAAAGAGAAATTTTTATGATAGGATTTTAGCTTCCGGTTTCGAAATAACAATTTCCGGTTGTTGTTTTTTGAAAACGTCTCACATTAAAATGCTTATAGTTAATTCTATTCCTACATTTCGTATCTTCAAAAAATATGCAGTTTTGAAATACTAAAATTTCAACTATTTTGTTGGATGAATAAATAAATAAATAAAAAATCAGCGTTATATATATATATATATATATATATATATGTGTGTGTGTGTGTGTGTTTTATACAAAAAATTGAAGTTTTTAACGTAATGGATACGTTAGTGGGTTATGTGAGTAACAAAAAAAAAATGAATTAGTAATTTCTTTAATAAAATCAAAAGAAAGTTTACTTGAAAATAAAAGATGGAATACTTGCAATTTTTCTTAAGAAATTTATTTAAGAACACATTCACACGCTGTACTAATACTTGCAAAACAATGGAAGCTCGTGCAAAAACTTCATTCATTGATCACTTAATATGCAAACACTAATTCTCTTAAAAAGTATCTAGTACGATGTTTTAATCTCCATTGCAATAGTCATGGTTCATTTGAAAAATTCTGATATTTTTTATTAATTACATTGGACAGATGTCCGTTCAAAGTAAAATCTTCTTTGGAGCTGAAATTGAAAAACAATAGTGAATGAGAAATATTAAATTTCATCTTTCTTTTCAATCAATGTGAAGATTACTGTAAGTTGCAGCAGTTTGGTAAATAAGCCAAATATTTCTTTTCATTAATATGATACAATGTTAAGTATTATTAACTTTGGAAATTTAAAAATAAGGCTCATAAGAAAAAAAAATACATTTCTTCCAAAAACTTTCACTTCTCTTTTTGAACAAAAAGTTATCTTTGTTTAATTTGATAAATTAAGGAAATATCTCACTAAAGCAGCGTTTCACAAACTGTGGGGCACGTCCCCGTAGTGGGGGGGGATAACTTTTCGGGTAGGGTGCGAGCATATTGAAAATTCGAAAACAAAAGATTTAAAACATTAATTCACTGAAAGTAAACAAACAAAATACATTATGACATAATAAAAATAAAATACACATTTACACTGATATAATACACTTATAAATGTATCAGTACTGTACAATATATTTTATAATTAATTTAGTAATACGAAGTTAAAAACAAGTTTAATAATTATCGTTGACCCCATGGGCTTGTCACATATAAAATTACATACAAAAGTTACCACTTACCTTGATAATTTGTACGGTTTATTATTAATCACTTAACTGCCGATTAAAGTTTACACGATTCGCTCCCCAATGCTACCTTTTTTCACGTAATATTGCGTATGTGATGTATTGGAGGAAGGGGGAGTAAATAAAAAAATCCTCTCTTAAATAAGTAAATCTTTCGCGAACACTGTCAAGGTCATATTAAGGAATGCAATAACACCTTTTATTGCATTCCAAAGCCTTCGAAATAATTTTATGAGAAGCAGTGCACAGAAAAAAATCGTACTTTGGAAAGACGTATATATACGTCCGGGGCAATTAACGCTTTGGCTGAGCGAGACGTATATATACACCAGTGGCATTAAAGAGGTTAAAGTCGTATTGCAGCTTCAGCGTCAAAGTATAGTATATTGAGTTCAATACCTAGTTACTGTATGGAAGGGAGGCGCGACGAAAATTGTGATTTGAATATTGGGTTGCAAATATTGAAAGTGTGAAAAACATTGCACTAGAAGCATTCGGAAGATTACTGTTCATTTTTAGCCTTAATTTTGTGGATCACCATAATGGTATAAGGGAGAGTATCTCACTTTCTAAGCTTCCACATTTTGCAAACTAAAGGCTTGAGAGTCATATTTTTTAATCATTTTTAGTCATATTTTGTTGCCAGTAATCTACATTCCAGTTCACCAAATATTATTCAGAAACTTGAGTGTGTTGAGTCTTTTTTATTATTAAACTTGATATATTTCTCACAGAATGTATCTGTATTTGTTTTAAATTATGAATACCTCTCAGCAATATAATCTACGGAGTGTGCAATTAACTATATGTTTATTTCACAAATAAGTAAATTTACAGTTATTTTTGTATAATTTGCAGTTATTTTTACACAATTTATAGCCATTTTTGCACATATTAAAGATACACCCCTATATAAAATATAATGTCGCTCAAAATTCTAGGTAAAATAATACGAAAGACTAAAGTATTATTCTTAAATTAGATAAAAATCAATTAAGAGCTATTTAATGCTTGGCTGAAGACGCAAGTTTATTATCTTGCTAAGTAGGCATTAAACTGTTGCGAAACAAAGTGAAGCACATTCTCTTTCACACACACACTTTCGCTTTCTTATCTGAGCTCTTTAACAAAACTAGGTAGAGACGTGAACCTAATCGAAATGAACTAGCGTTCTAATGTCAGCTTAGAACATGTATGCTTTCAAATATATTCACGAATAAGCTAAGCCTTAACTGACTAAGAGATTCTGGAGCGAGAAAATATCTTAAGTACGTGAAGAAAAGATAGCAGCAACAAATAACACACTTGTTTCAAATTTGCTTAATTTATGATCAAGATATTATAGCTGATGAGTTAAAATTATGCATGAGTTTTTTTTCCAAATGATTAGGACAACTATACTATCCGTTTGTAAATAATATGTTAATAAAAAACCACAAGAAATGTTTGTAGTTTATTTACTAGTACTTTAACAAGTGTCATGATCGCACATAGTTTTTTCTATTTTATTATAAAAGAATTGTATTAAGATGATCGTGTTGATTGAAATTAGTTTTTGTACCATATGTCTATATTGCTTTATACCAGTGATTTCCAAACTTTTTTAACCCAATGACCCCTTTTATAGTCAAAACTTGCCCACAGACCCCTATTTAAAGTCAAAGCTTTACCGAGAACATCCAAGTGAAAAAGCTACATAAATGCATAGTATAAAAAATTACAAATTTTAAAAAAATCATTTTATTAGAGAATTATTTATTGAAATTATAGCTTTTCTATAACCCTTTATCTACGGCATTATGATTTACTGCAGTTTTTTTCATGCAATACATATAAGTACCGTCGGTAGATAAAGAGTTAAAATAAAATAAGAAAAAAATTACTTGGATGAACTTTATGTGATCTTATGAGTGTATTTATGTTCATCTCAAAGTTTGTTGGGCCATGGGTAGCCTAGTGGTTAGGGCATCAGACTTCAGACTGGAAGGCCTGGGTTCGATGCCACCAAATACCCTCCGAGTATACACGGAGTACGTGCTCGTTAAGTCAGTGGGTCCGAAAGTCTTGTGGGCTGAATCACGAGTGCAGGGGACTGGAGACTATTTCCCTTCCCTTCAGTTCCATGCCTAAATTCTGGAGATGGAGATTGGTAGCATCGCCATCTATCGTCCCTTCGGGAATCTCTCCGAGCTAAATTGTACTGTCACCTATATGGTGCTCAAGGCCAACGACAGGCGTACATCTAGCCCCTTGCCACGATGAATTTCGTGGGTCTCGATCTGACTACGTCAGACAGGTGGCATTAGAAACAACAACAATGTGAGTAGCAACCGCAAATCCCCACGAGCACTAGTTTTTAGTCGGTTTCTTTCTTTTTTTGTGATGGTTTTTTACGGCAGGCACTGAATCTACGTTCTACCAAATTGGAAGACGGGAAAGTGTGTATAGTCAACACAACTTCTGTACAATAACCCATAATGAAGGACATAAAATTGGGATTTGTTTTTGTAACCAGAATTTATGTGGTATCCTTGTTCAAACATTGGCTTAAGTCCTTCATTTGCAGATATTTCAATAAGATATTTCTATATTATTGAGTATTCATCTGTGTTTGGAATCTGAGAACGTTCACGTGCAAAAAGATTCAACACCCAGTCGGGAATATCTAAGTGAATAATTGTTATTTATTTAAATTTCCATAAAACTAAAAATGGATCAAAAATATTTTAATTTATATTAAACCTTGCGCGGACATTCTGATGTTGTTTCAGGACCCACAAATCAATTTTAGTTTTTCATGGACCCCCTGAATAATGTCGGTGAACCCAGGGGTTTCGTAGGGATCAATTTGGGAGCCACTGCTTTATACGGTGATTACACAGGAAATCTGGGCTTGAGTGCTAAAAAAGGAATTTGTGATCCGTATAGTTTTTTAAAACTGTTTTATTAATAAGAGTGCGTGGATAAGACGATAATTAAACTGTATTACCAGAAAAAAGAAAAATTAACAAACATAAGAGAACTGAGAATTAAAAGTTGATAGGAGTGAATATTAACGTCGCATTGTTCAACTACACGATGGCTTTTGCGACGGATTGATTGAATATTAACGTCGCACTGTTCAGCTACACGAGGGCTTTTGGCGACGGACCACGTAATTTTGAACCATGGTCAAGTGACGTGGACGACACCTGAGCAAGCACCACCTCTCTTAACTACCACACCGCAGAAACGGGAGGACGTTTCAGCTCTCGAAAGATTTAGCGTGCATCACAGCCCTACAAGGCGGGTCTTTAGTGGTACTGGGCTCTAACTCGTGACAAAGCCAGCCACGATCCGATACCTATACCACTTGGCTACCGCGGCCAGAAGATGATAGGAAATGAAAGATATCGTTATATTTTGCAGAGATTGATGAGCTCCTGTCAGTGGCGTAACGGAGAATATGAGGGCCCACCTGC